TTACAAGAGTATTTTAATTTTTTTCTTACCTGTTTTAATCCATGCTGGGTCAGATCTTGATGCTTTAAAAACGAGGCAATGAATCAAAACAAACAATTCGCTAAAAGCAGTTAGCTTAGCCTGTTGCTAATCCAGTTCTTGGAAAATAATGGAGTGTAAACTCTCCCTCTGTCTTTGTTCTGCTGCTTTTCTTGTCCAGCAGATCTGGTCCAAGCTCTTTTTCTCCTTGTGTGTTCTGGTCTAAAACACTTTTTTGTTTTAGGAAACTTAGCTAAGTTATTTAGCGCCTCAATTTCTTAACATGTTAATGCTGTTCGCATCGTATCAGTCAGTCTAAAGCAAACCACGCCCACATACACTCACACTGGAGGCACATATTTGTACGTCTACCCTAAATGGCTGAATCCTGTGGCTTTGGGCTGATCCTGGGCTGAACAGAATTAGCCCCTATGAGCTGCAAACCAAGGGGGCGTGGCTAGACGCCTGTCAATCATTTTGAATCATGGCAGACACTGAATGAAAATGGGCTGTGAAAAGTTAGCCCTGCAGAATGACCTTGGGATCTTCCCAGGTGGTTTGGCACCAGTTTTCCTTGTAAATTTCACAAAATAAGATATATTATTTTAAAATTTTGTTTATTTTTTAATTGTTGTTTATAAATTGTATATATTCTCATAATTATGAGATAGTATCTCATAATAATGAGATAGCTAAGTCATAATTATGAGAAAGCTAAGTCATAATTACGAGATACAAGTTTTATTTTTTTATCAGGGTGGCGGAAATGGGCTTCCATAACCCAGAAAGGAAGGAGCATGTAAAGATAAATAAATGGATCAATGATACAGGCTTAATGGGAGACATTTGTTTCTTAAAATGCCTTGTGTGTTAAAGTTATGTTTTATAGTCTGTAAACATGTTTACTTTGAATATACTTGTGTTCCTGTTTTGTAGTTATCCCAATTGATTTGTTTTGTACCAAGTTTGGGTCTTGTTGTTGTTGCTGCCCATTATTGTACACTAGAGGTCCTCGTTTATCCTCTTTTGTTCTCTCTACTTTCCTCAACTCTTGCTCACTGTTTCCAAACAGATCGCCAACATTCCAAAAGCCAATCCCATCTCCCAGAACAGATGTCCCTCTGATGTCTCTGCTCATGAGCAGTTTCTGCTATTTCTGTTGTCTGCCTGTTTATTTATTATTGTCCACCACCAAAGGCAAAAGGGTGATGATGTTTCTGCCCATCTCTGTGTGTGCAAGTAACATATCTCTTGATTCACGTGCAAGTTTTAATTCAACTCATAAAGCATCCACAATGGCTTTGTCCAAAACGGCAGGCCGGGTCCCCCGGAGGACCCAGACTACCCGGTCGTGGCGGGCCCGGCCCTTGGTAGACTGGGAAGACCGGAAAAAAAGAGGCTGTGAATTTGGTTCGTCCATCATTACTAGCATAAAAAAATCTCCGGTTGGGCCGCAATGCATTATGGGATATGCTGGGCCGGGAAGGATCCATCAGACCAGTCCTTCGATTCGGGCCAAAGGAAGGACGTATTTGTCGGCCACATCGGAGGTGTCTTTGGTTTTGGACGTCCTTCGTCGCGGCGCTGTGACGTATGCGGCCGACAAATTCGGCCTTCGGAGGACCCGGCCTTCCGTTTTGGACACAGCCAATGAATTAACTTTTTGAGTCAACCCAATTCAAGATGGCTGCCACATCCGCATACCAATATAATACACAAAAAAGGCCACAACTCAGGCAATTTGATACCAAATAAGGTAAAATTTGGTGGGGTAATAGCCGAGCATCACCCCCAACAAATACTTTAAACCAAACACACTGTGCAATATTATTGTCTAAAATTTTGTCATTAACTCTTGGTGTCAACCAGGACTGGAGCCAGAGAGGTGGCCAAGGTGGCACCTGATTGGCCACACCAGAAGCCACCCCCAAACTATAGACAAGTGGGGTGGGGCTTGCATGTGGCATTTCAAAGATGAGCATACAATGAGAAACGTTTATCGAAGACACATCTTTTCAAATTTGCCTACTGCTGTTAATTCCGATTTTCAATATATGTCTGTTTTTGTTGTCCAAACTTCGATGTTTCTCCCTCCACAACCCTATTGTTCAATTTGTCTACATTATTGTATTTTATTATATGACTGTTCTGTACTCCACATTTCTGTTTCTCCCACACTACCCTTAGCATAATATGTATCTACAGTTTTTTAAATTTCATTTTAGTTTTTTTCTATTGTACAGTGACCTTGGGCGTTCTGAAAGGCGCTTTATAAATTATTATTATTATTATTATTATTATTATTATTATTATTATTATTATTATTATTATTATTATTATTATTATTATTATTATTATTATTATTGCTAGCTGGGTATGTCATTGTTGTTTCTCATGGCTACAACCACACCAAATTTCAACTCAGTATTTCTAAAAATAGCTTTGGCAGCCATCTTGGATTTTGTATTGGACATCAAATTTTGTAAAATATTCCTTCTTGGCTACGACTACACCAATTTTCAGCTGTGCATGTTTAAAAATGGCTAAATTATAGGCCTTTGTAAAATTAGCATTAGCATTAGCAGTTATCTTCATTGGGACTAACAATCAACATCTTCTTAGCTACAATCACACCCAAAATTTAAGCTCAATATTTCTTAAAACAGATAAATTAGAGCCATGTGAAGCTAGCTGTGGAGGCTATCTTGAGTTTTGAAATGCAGAGTTGTTTTATGTATTTGTATATGCCCCCCTAAAACCCACCTGGACCACCCCCATGCAAAAATGTCTAGCTCTGCCCCTGGTGTGAACCCTGTTAGCACAGTGTTTCTGGAACCACTGAACACATTTGAATGTAAATCTCCGGTTGTAATCACTGCATGCACATCAACATATTTGGAGGAAATGGGCTGAAAATGATTGTTCCTCTAAGGTTTTGATGACATAAACATTAGCTGAATGGGAAAAAAATGTAAATTTACTGAATTTTGAAAACATGTAAATAAAACAGCAACAGACAGAAGTGCGTTGACCCAGGCATTTCTTTTTTTTGTCTGCCACAGTCATACAGAGATAAAAACAAAATCTGATGAATAAATCAAATGACGAAAGGGCAAAAACATTCAGCACAAACTGAACAACATCCGTCAGATGAGACTGAAATGTAAAGAAGCCAGTTGAGCAGAAAGGGGGGGAGCTACAACAGGCACCAGTGGAGCTGGGTGGAGGTGAAGATGAACAGCCAGAGGATGAAGAAGATCCAGAGGGTCCGTAATGGTGGAACCGCTGGATGTTTAACTGAGAAAAAAAGAAAAAGAGTTAATATATTTTAATTAATTTATCCTGAATACAACTTCTACCTCCCATTTTAGACCATGACTGCATTTTCCTGCTTTTACTACACAAGCACGTCGCTCAGCTTTGCAAATATTCATAGAAAGGTTGAGATTTTCAATTACAATAAATAAATAAATAAATAAATAAATAAATAAATAAATAAATAAATAAATAAAT